GTAGGGAAATCAAAGAAATCAGAAGATTCTAAGCAATTAATTGAACACAAGTATTTAGCAAAAGCTACATGTAGCAACCTGAAAGATAGACTTAAGAACACACAGCTTGCCTCAGGTTTTCCTCCTTTTTCTCTGTCCACTAAAGGCACATAAACTAAAGCAAGAGGATAATGTAAAAATACACAGGTTAAAATCACTTAATTTAGAACTCACTCCTTACAATTTGCTCACTCAAGTAAGAACAGATCCACTGACTTCCCTGAGTTACTCAGCATGCATGATCCATTAGGACTTGATACTTTCTGTAAGATGACAAGCTCTCTAGCTAGTGCAGCACAATGTCTAGCTTTTAAATTGCCTATATGGATAATCACACTCTACTCTTGTGCTAAGGTATTAATGGCCTCAAAGTTAATTACACGTTTATGCATTTTACCAGACTGGCTGTCACTGCAACATTGTAACATCACACCCACTAACTCTTCCTCCAAAAAGTTAAGAAAGGCATTATTAACATATATACTGTCTAAATCGTTATCTATAAAACTCTATGGCAAGTCCAGATCTTGGCTGCAGTAGGAGTGATTGGGTGAAATAAGCAGGATATACTTTGCTGTTAGCACATGTCTTTATAATGAACATAATATGAAAGTAAATACAGCATCTGAACTGACTGCTCATTGATAGACTATCTCAGCCAGTGTGTTGTATTTCAGCTATACATGCTCTTTATTAATAATAAGAAAACACTTCCATAAAAGAAATATGTAACTTTAAAATTACTTACAAATGCTCAGGGAATAAATTTTTACAATTACAATCCCCAATTCCATTACCACAAATACTCTTATGTGCAAAACAAGAGTAGCCTTATTCTCAAATCCTATTAGAATATGTAAGAAAAGTTACTTTTGGTTACTAATATGCATTGTCTTTGCCTATGCAGGTTCTCAGAATATGTACTTTAGCAAATAGAATACATTTTTAAGCATACTACATAATTAAAGTAGAGAGAAAGACAAACCAAGTCAAGAAAGAAATCTCCCAATGGATCATTTGACTTGATCACAGAGGCATTCCTTCTTTTGATATCAGAGAGCATATATTGAACATTTTAAATATGTATAAAATAAGCTACAATTACTTTTGTTTCCTGTGAAGTATGAAAACATTCTATGTTGTGTTCAAAGACCAAAATTACCATATCCTCTTAAACACAGTAATGGCACTTACCTTTCTCTCAGCTACTTACATCTTAGCCCAGAAGTCAGACAGCACTGTCAGAGAAGTCCAGTAGTTTTACAGCACTTAAAAGTTGACTTCAAGACACAGTTCTAGAGGTTTTGCTTTTAAATGAATGCTGTTCAAACCAAATGTTTGGCAAAGACACAGATCAAAGTATCAGGTAATTGTCTGAGCAGCCGAAACAAAGAACACTAATTAATTAGTCATAAATATAAACATCCTGAATTATTAAACATAAAACTTATTTTATCTTTCTTTCAAAGCAATTTTTTATTATGGTTGGAGTGCAATATTTCTAAATTGAGGGTTCTTTACTAAGCATCTTCCAGTTGCTGAGAAACAATGTTGCTATAGAGACTGAAAATTAGGTGAAAGCTGGCACAATGCAGAAACTACTGTTGCACCAACACAGTCCTAAAAAATACTAAGTCCTAGCAGCAATGTCCTAGAATAAGAACTGTTCAGACCAACCTTAAAGCTTACACACTCTTCAGTACAACCAAATGCTAAGGTTTATGTAGAATATATATACAATTTGTAAGACACACACATTTATCTTAAAGCACTTTTTCATAAATTTTTCAACAGTTACTCTGACACCCAGGTAGCAGGATTCATCAGTGCTATGAATACCTTGCATACATAGCATTACTCAGTAACCTGAGAGAAAATGTGTACCAGAAATTAATTATTACTTATAGAAAACCCAAACTTAGTGATACTAAGTCTATCACAGTTAAAACTGTAACCAACTTTTTTTTACTGTATTTTTGCTTTCCTGTTATTTTTACTCTTTGTTTCTCTTCTAAGCAAAAGAAAAGGAAAACAAACTTTTGCATTCTATTATGCATCTACAAGGGAAGAAGGCCTGCAGGCCACTATGCAAATCTAATTAGAGTAACTTAGGATACAAGAGACATCTGAGACATTTGGTTTGCCTTTCTCCACCCAACCCCTGTGAATAAATTATTTGCCTGTGGTTTTCAGGTAGTGACTGGGAAGTCTAGTAAACCTGCTTATATTTCCTTCTTATTAACAACTGTGCAGTGCTGGTGCTTAAATCAATTTAAACTACAGTTTCCACAGGTAGAATAAAATAATTAAGGGTAAAAGACTGCCAAATCATATTCCATATAGAAAAAAACAAATGTAAATATACATTAGAGATCTTGTCACTAAGGAGATGTATGCACTTCAATTTTTGTGTTAAAAATCAATTTTGCTGGAGAATATAAATTCTCACACAAGTACTGTGTTTCTTTACCTTTGAATCAGGAATTTGTAGTTACAGAACTGCTACTCTGTGACAATCTTGCTCAAAATCGTCATAATACAAATATTTTAGATATTTAACAAAGCTTTTGGAACACTTTATTGGTCTGAATAAGTTGTTGGATGTAAAGAGAATTCTAGATTCATTAAAGTCAGTAGAAATTTTGCTTTGGTGTCCAGATTAAGAATGTTACATTCTCACTGTTTTTGAAATAGTTTTCTGCATGCATATTTCCAGGTTTCTGATCAGGAAGATACCATAAAATCTATGACACTGTTTAACTTTTCCTTGTAGTATGCTCTTTGAGCAATGGAAACATAGTTTTAGTATATGAATTTTCAGCATTTTCTCCTCCAGACAACTCCAGCTAACGTGAGTCAGTAAGCAAGGTTTCCATCTCTGTAAAAAAATCAAAAAGCACATATTTTTGCCAGCCTCCTAAAATACTTACACATGCAAGGAGACAAGAAGGGCTTCTTCAGGCATTTTAAAAAATTAAGTAATTATAAACTTGGTGTGTCATTAATAAACAAAGCAAAACAGCTTAATAATTTATAATGTAGGAATCTCTAAAAAGATCTTTCATCTGTTGTAATTGGAAGAAGTGGCAGATATGACTGCCACTTACCAAGACGGCCTTCTATAGCTATAATTTCTTTTTAGCCTACTGTCTTTGGGTGTCTCAGTCTTCTAAGTGGCACATAGACTAAAGACACTGAATGAACTGTTTGCTACTGTAACAAACAGAAAAGCAAGAAGCTAAGAGTTCCAGTTTACAGTATTTTTTTCTCTGTTAGAGATTCAACTTGTTACTTCTAGATAGTACAGAATAATAAAATAAACAACAGCTTCAAAAACATGGTAGGACATATGGTGAAAGTGCTTTTCTAGTAATAGTTACTTGGGTTAAAAAGATGTTCTATATACTAAGAATCTAAGATAAAATGTGTCATGCTAAATGCATTGTTTATGCCCAGCTTTTATATTCATGATAGGTGATTGACATAATAGAAGCTTAACAAAACAAGGTTGCTAACACACAGGCCCTCCTATCACCATTCCCAAGTCATGCTCAGGATAGAACAGACCAGCACTTGTTCCTTATATTCCTTCCTAAAGGATTTTGTATCCATTTTAAATGAAAGACACAAAATAAGAATCTACTACTTAAATGCTCACTTAAAACTTCATCTTCTCTTTCAGGGGGATAAAACTCACCTGGATGGAAATACTCGTTACTAGTGACTTTATCACCTTTATATGGACGCATTTCTTTTATTTCCTTTAGCGCAACAAGCTTTTCCTGAATGGGGGGGAAAAAAAAGAAAAAAAAAAGTCGGAATATCACCCATTCTTTTAATCCACTTTAATTTCTAGCACAAATTTAAAATATGTTACATTAAAATGATCCTTTACATGTCATTTTAATCACTGAAGATCACAAAATCTGATTGAAGCTAGAATGTAGAGTTTGGGACTGGTCTTTTTAGTATTTTAGTATTTAGTCAAATTAAATTACTTTTGTCTCCCCAGCTGAAAAGATGTTAATGATGAAATTACTGCCCACTGGTTTTATATTTTCTGAAAAATCCCTAATGCCAGTAAAATCTGATCTTCATTCATGCAGACTCTCAGCCACAAGGATCCTGAAAGACATGTCTCGTGGCATAGAACTACTCTGAACACCACACAAGCAAAGTCAACATCAGCAGCATAGAATGTAGAAACATTACATTAAAGCTACTATTTGTTTTGAACAATGCCTGCAGAACCTGGAAGTGCAAATTCTACACTTACATAGGTAAACATATTTTCCCTTCTTTTTGGGCAACAGAACTGTCATCTGATCATTTCAATACAGAAACACTACTTTACACTTGGAAATACCTGGTATTTATCATGCATAAGTACATGTGTGAAGTTTATTGGTCTAACATTTGGAGTAAAGGTCTCAGTATTCAAAGCTATATTGCAACGTACCCATAGGTGGCAGAATGGGCATACTATTAGATACAAGAAATCGTCACCTGTATCAACTCATGGGCTAAGCATCCCAGAGCTTCTTGGGTCATCTCATTCGTTTCTAATGTTGTTATGACTTCCCAGTTACCATTCTGGAACTTCACTGGCATAGAGAAGACAATTCCTTCAGGCACGCAATATTGACCTAAAGAAGGGTGAATGAACAACCCAAATATATGATTTCTGATTACAAAATACATGGTCACCTGTGTCAAGATTAAATCTTACAGACCTGCACAAGTCTGCAACTGTAAGATCTTACTATAAACAGAGATTGTATTTTTCAGTGTACAGTTCAAAGACTAAAGAGTTCCCCATTTACTCTAGCTTTGTATTTTAATTAGCCATACACGAATCATATTATAGGTTGGGCTGGAAGGGAGCCTGGAGCTTTCAAGGTCAGTTTGTTCAGCACCCCCCTGCAGTGAGCAGAGACATCTTCAACTATATTAGGTTGTCCAACTTGACCTTGAATGTTTCCAGAGATGGGGCTTCTACCACCTCTCTAGGCAACTTGTTCCAGTGTTTCACCACCCTCACCGTAAAATATTTCTTTTTTATCTCTAGTCTGAATCTACTCTAATTTAGTTTAAAGCCATTACCTCTTGTCCTATCACTTACAGGGCCTGCCAAAAGGATTGTTCCCATCTTTCTTATAGTCCTCCTTTAAGTATTGAGAGGCCACTATAAGGTCTCCCCAGAGCCTTCTCTTCTCTAGGCTGAAAAGCCCCAACTCTCTTAGCCTTTCCTCACAGCAGAGGTGCTCCATTACTGTGATCATTTTTGTGGCCCTTGTCTGGACCCACTCCAAGAAGTCTATGTCTTTCCTGTGATATAACACAATTGCTGTAACAATTTTATATCTTAAAAAGGGGGAACAAGTATTTTTTTTTAATTTCATACAAGGCTTAAATGGGTATTGTGAAATGTTCCATTTATTTGTTCACATAGCTGCACAAGAACATGGTTTTCTACCTTTAGGGTCTAAGAACTATAAAGAGTCCTTGCACAATGTACATACATCAGAAAAGCATTTAAACTAAAAGACTAAGAGATGACCTGCAACAACATGATATTAACCTAAGAGATGTTTATAAGAAGTGATTATCAAATCACAACACACGGAAAGTAAAATTGCTTAGATTTTGAGGTCCTTATGCTGAAAAAAACCTCTCAGCTTCCCATTATGTCATGACTTGGTATACAAGTTTGTATTAAATGAAAAATCTTGATTAAAAAAATAGTATTATATATACTGGGGAAATCTACAAGAGAATATGTGAAGTAAAACTACATTTACCTTTAGTAAGTACTCCCACAGAAACAATCTCCCCAGGAGGAGAGCCATGATACCAGTATCTCAGTACAGTGGCTATTGCATGAGCAGGCAACATTCCTACACAATGACTGAGCCGGGAACCCAATGAACTCTGTTCAGATAGAAGTTCTGAATGGATCCATTCGCTAACAACAAAAGGAAAAGAGATTTTAAAAAACCCCAAACAACTGAGATAACTGCAGTAAGAGTAGTTTTTTAGGGCAAAAATAGAGTATAAAATTATTCAAACTTCATTGCTGAAGGCAAGGCACTGAAAGACAGAAAAAAACAAGGTCTAACAAAAAAATACTCAAAAGATAACAAGAAGCACTATACGTATCTATGAAAGTTAGGTCATTTACTCAAGTAATAACCATTATTATTATTATTATTATTATTATTATTATTATTATTAATCTACTGCCCTCTGACTGTACTCATCCTTTCTCTGCTACTTCTCTTTCCACAAGAAGCTAAACAGTTGCCAGATATCTTTTTTTCATCTGTTAACAAACAGTCTATTTTGGGAAACGGACAACATAGGTGTGCTCAGACTTATGTTCAACGGAATTCAGGTACTTCAAGATGCAGATATATGTTTACTATTATTTCAAAGCCTGCTCATGCATACTAGATATCTAAGTCACTATCTGGATTTCCATTACTTCTTATAGGCCGCTCACAATATGATAGGAGATGAACACACTTAATATGAAGGAAAACAGTTACAAAGTTGGCAGGAGAGTCAGAACTATATAACCCTAGGAACTACTCATCTTCTTTTACAGACTGAGTACTTCAACTTGAGTTTTCCTATATGTACAGTGATAGTCAGTAAAGAAAAATCTTGAAATCAAAAACCTCACTTGGTGTTTATAAAACAGTTCAGATAAACATGGATTAAAAGAAGTTCTTTAGTTTTACTTTAAAAAATTAGTCTGCACTGACCTATCATAAATCACATTCAACAAAGGATATGGAAAATTAGGTGGACCCCAAATAGCACCATCATATCCATAAAGTTTTGCATGTGACAAATCAATGTAGTTACAGCCAGTAATATTGCCCCAAACAATCACATCTTTAACTCCTGTAACAGAGAAAAATACACAGATTAATGAAAAGACAGACAAATACTTTCACAATGTAGGCCAGAATAGATGACCTCTTTCAATGTTAATTATTCTTCAATAACTGTTCTGCCTTGATATTAGAAATTATTTGATGTGAAAAATACAACAAGGTTCTCCATAATATATAAAACCTTATCACAAGCTGAAAAAAGGAACTTTGATTTATATTATGCTATTGTACATAACAGACAAAAACAAGTAAATACTTAGCTGTTAAAAATCAAAACAAATCATATTGGAAACACAGAGCAATGTTTCTTTTAAAATTCTGTATATGCAAATATGAAATGCTGAACAGTAAAAATAATTACAAAAAAATAAACTACCTGATTTGGTACAGAAGGAATTTCTCAAATAACCTGCTGATACGCTAGTCAGCCTATTTACTTACTTTTCTATTTTATTAGGCTGTAAAATATCTAGACTTGTCATTGGTGACCAGTTCCCAGCCCTGCAATATCGAAAGAATCCTGATGCTGAGCACGCTGTTGTAGCACTCCTTGCTTACGCAGCACAGAACTGTGCAAATATAACGAAGCTGCAGCAATTGACCTGAGAAAGCAAGCTAATTAACCTAGAAATAATAACACAATGCAGTTCTTCTATACTCTCATTATCTGCACAGCAGTATGTTGTCATGTTTATTCAGAGCTAGTTTGTGTGTTTCCAAAATACCAACGCACTGCAGAGTGTAAATGTAATCTTGAAATCCTACCTCCAGATTCATGACACAGCTCAGTCCTTCTTAGTATATTTCCAACAAGAAATACACACCAGAATGGCAGGGCTGTGTCCAATTGACCTCCATGGGATCAGGTACAAATCCAGATAGTGGTAAGCACAGAGAATTATAGGACCTGCTAGTCACACCCTAGCCTTCTGTACAGCCACGCAACTCAGTGGGTGTACTGCTGTACTTGCATTTCTGCATACACATCGATTGTGTTCTGTGATTAAATGCGTACTTTCAAAGATGTCCATCCACTGAGTGCCCCAAATGCTACGAGAACACACAAATATTCACCTGCTACACTCATATTCAGCTTCCTGGCCAGCATGGCTTTAGCTGCACTTTCCCAGGATGATGAAACAGCAATGACATTTTCAGGCTTAATGGATGGCCCATACACCATAATCATCATCGCCTTAAGGTTTACAAAGGTTTTTCCTGATGAAATTACTCTGACCTCACTCTTGGCATTCTTCTCAATCAGAGGACCATACACTTGGCAGATCTCACTCACTTCTCTGATGTAGTTCTCAAGGGACTGGACTTCATGGTTTAATAGGACATCATCAAGAACAATTATAATATCAGCTTGAATAAAAGCCTTGTCTAGTTCAGTGTGCTCTGAAATACTGCGGAGGAGTGGGAATGCCATGTCTTCAGCTTCCATTACAATACCACAAAGAATGTCCTTAAACTGGGGAGTGTCAAGCAAATGGATACTGATTTCTGTGGTCATCCCAAACACTTCTCCATTTGCCAATAAAGGGATCAGCTGATACGAGATTGGAGCTGAGGCACTGATAAGAAAAGGATATAGACAGATTACAATTACTGACTAACAACTGCTTATTTGGAAGTATTACATAAAAAAACACAAATATCTTTCTTTTGTATTTGATTATGTTTAAATAGACCATTAGCTTGGATCCTTTATTGCTCTGTCATTTTAATAGGTTAAAAATTAAAACAGTTCTGTTGTCCTTTCATTTGAAGATTTTTCCATCTTATACATTTCATTCCATACTGTCACTTAAAAAAGGGTGTCTTTAAAGAAATACAATTTTTTAACATGCTCTGTTAGGACCACCAGAACTACAGAAATTTCTAAAGCTAGAACTGCTACAGATTTTTTAGTTACTTAAATAGCTCCAAAAACATTGAATGCAAGATAGTTACACTATGAAATTCCTAGCTTATTTTGTAAATACTTGCTTTTCCCTAAGGTGATCTGAAGTCTAAATGTTACCTGTTCACATCCCTCACTAACACTGGTGCAGAACGTAACAAAAGTAGAAATTTCTAAAGTAGATACTGAATGCTCGTACTGTGGCACACAGAACCAAATTCCAATCAATTCCAGTCAATTACTGGGGTTTGTGTACAGCTTCAGATGGCTACACTTGCTATATATAATAGGAAAAAGTGCATTCTTCTGAAGCTGAGTGAAACCTCCTAGATATTATTTTTACTCTCACCTGGTGATCCAGATCTGCAAAGGCTTGATAAGTCTTTTAACTTCCTCCTCTTCTTTTGCAATTTCAATATGCGCCCGCAGGTTCTCCTCAGCAATGCGTAACATTTCCTCACTTAACATTGTTGACTTGACACCATAATAGTGCTAAGAACAAAAAGGATGATCTCTAATCGAAACGCAGCAAGGTTAACATTAGAAAGGACAGCTTTATTTCACACTTGAAGAAGGAACAAAGAACAACGTCATAAGAAAATGTAAAATACAGATTTACAGTATTAAAGGCAGCTCATTACCTGAGCATATTCCAGAAAATCATCCAGTCCTCCCATAAGCATACCCTTCCCTCCACGGCACAAGAGTTCTCTCCAAATGATAGGAGACTGTCGGTGTTCCCATTCATTCTTTTCACAAATGTCATGAAGCCACTGCTAACATAAACATCCCCACCAAAAAGTTTTCATTTTCACATTTGATAACACTCAAATGCTACAGCTATAAATATTCTTCTTATTTCCTCCCAATACATAACTACAAGGCGCTTCACATCTTTTGCACCAGTGTGCACAAAATGGCGGAATAATACAAAGCAAGGCATGGTGATACACTGTGATACCTCAGCAAAACATCTGCTTGATGTTACTGCTGTAATTTTGCTCAATAGCCTTAAAATGTAAGATGTAATAATCATCATAGTACTGTCCACCTCATTAGCAATACTGCTTTTTTTTTCAGTTTCTTATAGACATGGCAACATCTCTACAGCTAAAGTATTCAGGAAAGCCCATCCACATTGTAAACAAATATGTGAGATTTATTTTTGTATTTCCATTGGAATTCAAAGCCCTTGAATGCCAGAAATGCTCTTGACACACAACTCTGAGGGCATATGCAATCACAGTGTGCAAAGATGTACACGCTGAGAAGCCTTTTATAGATAATTAAAAAATTAATAAACTCGAACTTCTGAAAAAACACAGCCTTAGGCTGGCTGTCATTTTGTGCCCATTTCCTGTGGTAAGACTCCAGAGAATGCCAGTCTCTCACAATATTCCAACTTTTCCTCTGGCTATCTCTCATAGCTAAAGCTGCTTCTGCAGCACCTCTACCCACTTATCAAAATACTAATACAGAACAAGAAGAGACATACTGAGATAGCTTGTCTGAAGACAAAGAGACAGGCCTAGAGAGTGCTGGCTCTTCAGCCTGGAAAAGAGAAGGCTCCAGGGAGATCTTATAGTGGCCTTCAGGTACCTGAAAGGTCCTACAGGAAAACTGAGGAGGGGCTTTTCACCAGAGAGGACAGTGACAGGACAAGGGGTAATGGTTTTAAAGTGAGAGAGGGTAGATTTATTTCAGACAGCAGGAAGAAATTCTTCACCATGAGGGTAGTAAGGTGCTGTAACAGGTTGCCTAGGGACTTTGTGGAAGCCCCCTGCTCATAGCAGGGAGGTTGGAACCCGCTGATTTCTAAGGTCCCTTCAAACTTTAACCATTCTATGATTCTACACTACAGGTAAGCACATTCCTTGCTCTGTAGAGCAATGGAACACCTACCAACGACTTCACTAACGATCCCTTACCTCCCATTCGTCAGGGTGCTGGGTAATCTTGTGAACCCTGAAGTCTGGCAAGTTAGTCTGGAGATAGTCTGCCAGAAGTTCCGCTTTGGCATAGTAGGGGCAGTCTGCCTTACCTGTGAATACATCACCACAGAAGGAAGATTTTGTCACACTGACTGATAACGGCTTAACAGGCCAAAAAGTTTTCCAATTGCTCCAACACGAAGTCTTACGTAACAAGCATCCCGTGAGTCCCCAGAAAGTAACAGGACAAGTATAAGAGACAACCAAGAGAGGCTCGTTTGGAGGTGAGGCAGTCTCTGCAGCCAGCGCTTAAGGGGCTGAGGAGGTCACCGCAAAGGGAGCGCAGCAGAGAGGCACAAACTCCCCGGCGGGATGAGAAGGCTGACGGGGAAGGGGCTGAGGCAGCGCCCCGCAGCCTTCCAGGGGGACTGAAGGAACGAGCTCGGGACCCCCCCGGGCGCCTCACCCG